AAATAAACGGTGAATAATATAGCTAAAATCATCAAAATATCGTATATAGGGAGGAGGCTGTGAGAAGACCTGGACCTGCATAGACAATTTTCTGTCACAGGCTGTAGCATCCATTACGAACTTCAAATACGACATCTCAAACAATTTCAGTGGGTATTGTACCTAAAATCGTCAAAATACCGAAGATAGGGAGGTACTGATATATGGGGCCTATACGAAGACCTGGACCTGCATAGACAATTTTCTGTTACAGACTGTAGTTCCCATTACGAACTCTAAATACGTAATTTGAAACAATTCTGGTGAATAATGACGCTAAAATCATAAAAATACCGAATATTGGGAGTTACCGTTATATTGAGGCTATATGAAGACGTGGACCTGAACAAACAATTTTCTGTCTTAGGCTGTAGTATCCATTTCGAACTTCAAGTATCACATTTGAAATAATTCCAGTGAATAATGTAGCTAAAATCATCAAAATACCGAATATTGGGAGGTACCGTTGTATGGGGGCTATACGAAGACGTGGACCTGCACAGATAATTTTCTGTCATAGGCTGTAGTATCCATTTCAAACTTTAAATGCCAAATTTGAAACAATTCCGGTGAATAATGTACCTAAAATCATCAAAATACCGAATATCGGGAGGTACCGTTGCTCATTTACGTACCATGGCTCATTTACGAACTTAACCTGCCTACTAGAAAATAAACATGTGTGCAAAATCTTAGCCTTTTATCTCAATTCATTCGAAAGATAGCGTGATTACAACAGACAGACAGACGGACATCGCTAAATCTTCTTAGAATTTTACGCTGATCAAGAATATATATACCTTGTTGGGTCTGACATGAGTATTTCAAGGAGTTACAATAGGAATGACAAAGTTAATATACCCTCCAATGTTAATATACCCTCCAAAGTTAATATACCCTCCATAAGTTAATATACCCTCCACGATTTACCTGTTTTCCCCAATGAAGCTGTGGGAAAGAGAAGAACCTCTCTATTTGCAACCTGTATCATTAAATAATTTTCAACTCCTTCAACCTAGCACCTAGCATTTTGTACCATTAAAAATCATCTTTCTAGCCGAGAGTTATTAATTGTCTTAGCATCCTTTTTCACATCCACAGCCATTAGTAATAAAACAAGACCAACAACAACAGCCACAATTTGTGGCTGTAACTAACCGCAAAGCGCTCTTCTCTTGCGCCAACAACAACAACATACCAACAGACAAACTGATTATTAAGATAAAGTGAAAAAGACATAAATAATTCCGAATACCCTTTTCCAAGTCGGATAACAAGTGAAATATGGTTTTTGCTTTTAATTTGAGTTATATAATGTATAAAAAGCAAATTTAGACAAAGAAGAAGAAGAAGAAGCAGCAGCAACTTCATAGAATTTATAAATGTTCGTTAGTGCTATCAGATGCCATAAAATTGTTAAAATTAAAAGCTATGTGGTTATCATGTTGTATATTAACAAATGACACAATTAGTGGTGTTTAGAATTTGCAAAATGGGGGGAGAGTTGAATAAAATATTTAAGAAATAAGTAATACAGGGTTGCCCATATTCGACGGACCCATGTTTTTTTTTTTTGGGCCCATCCATTCCGGCGTTTTTGGGATGTTTCTGGGGACCTCTCAACACTGGCTCGTACGGCAGCGATATTCTCGGCCGATCGCCTTGCTCGACCTTTATATGGCCTCTTCGGATTAGAAAGAGCCCTACCAGGCGAAAATTTTTCGAATAAACGCTTAATGGTGTTTTTAGAAGGCGCACTTCTCACATTTTTTAATGTTTTAAAAGCACGTTGATTTTTCACAATTGACTTCTTCTGTTGAATGTAAGTTTCAGAGCGCTCGCGTGGCGTGTATTGGTTCATGGCAAAAATCAGCTTGGTCTGACGCTTCAAACGCGGTATGTCATTAAGCGATGTGACATCTCTGTCAAAAGTTATGGCGTTGCCAGATGGGTCCGTCGAATATGGGCAACCCTGTAAACATTTCGTTAAGTTCGACGAACTTTTTATACCCTACACCACATAGTGGTAAGGGTATTGTGTCTTTGTGCATTTGTTTGTAACATAGAGAAGGAAGCGAGACAGACCCGTAGTTATTTTTGAGGATCTACATAGAAGTTATTCGATTTTCTGGGTCGATTTATTCTTGTCAGCCCGTCTGTCCATGTATTTTTGTGAACAAAATTCAGGTCGCATTTATTATCCGATTGAGATAAACATTTCTGAACAAGATTTGTTTATGGACAAACCCTTTTGAAATTGGTGAGAATCTGTTCAAATTTTGCTATAGGTCCCATATATATCTTCAACCAATTTCGGGTTAATTGTGCACCAAATGGCCAATATAAGTCCTATAAGTACCTAAATTTCAACCGAATTCAGTCTAGAAGCAAGTACATCAAATTTGGTGAAAATCGGTTTAAGTCCCTCACATTCGTAACATGCATTCGATAACAATGATATTTGGTACCAGATATCTCGTAGAGCTCGGAAACATCTCTGGCAAATTTTATCAAGATCGGTTCAGATTTGGATATAGCTGTATATCCTTAATCCGATTTCAGGTTTATTGTGCCAATGATGGCTAATATCAGACCAAATGGAGTGAATTTCGAAACGTACGTTTCCATTTGGTGCAATCCGGCTCCGATATATATATATTTTAATATAATCCTTCTCGAAGTGATATCATGCACTCTATAGCAATGTTTTTTGATATAAAAGATTAAAATGTCTCCGTCAAATTTTAGTGAAAATCGATTCAGAATTGGATATGCCTCCCATATATTAGTTCCCTCTGAAACGAAACTCTAACTGCTCTAAAGCCAAATAATGATAAGTGGTATGATCTACTTGAACAAAAAAAATATTTTTTTACGGGAGCTGTACTAAGTATGCATAGTGGTGTAGGGTATCATATAGTGGGCCCGCCCGACTTTAAGACTTTCTTTTCTAGTTTTCTAGTCATAAATAATGTGATAAAGTTCATTAAACCGACAGATGCGTTGTAATATGAATATTATTTCGACTAATTCCTCCAATTTATATGAGACACGTGTATGTATTTGTATATCCTCCACCATAGTAAGGTTGAGGGTATATTAATTTTTGCCATTCCGTTTGTAGCTCATCAAATTAATCATTTTAAAACGAACAAAGCTTAAAGTTCAAAGTCGATAGTCCGTCCATATCCGTTTTTCAGTATGATGCAATAATCACGCTAGTGTCTGAATGGCATGTGTAGGAAGCTAAGATTTGGCATAGAGTTGTCCTTCGTCTGCAGATAGTTCAAGTTCGAAGCTGAGCTATATTTGTCAAAGTGTTCGTATAGCCTCCATATAATGGTACCCCATATGCTGTATTTTTTATAATTTTATACTTAGTTTCCAGCGAAATGGCTTAAAATTCGGTATTTGAAGTTCATAGTGAGTTCTACCTACTGAGGCCGAACATTGCATTGAGTTCCTATAGGGTAATCTACTTTCAGAATATTGTCAATACAGGTCCACATTTTCGGTATTTAGAGTTCATAGCGGGTTCTACCTCCAATGGTAAAAATTTGTTTGTTTATGAAAATGTTGACTTTTGGTGAGGGAGATACATGAAGTATTTGACCGGTTTTACCCATCTCCGAACTTGATTTAAATTTAATAGAAAAATTATGAAATGTTTTAAACGTTATTTGAACGAAATTGGCAAAAATTAAATTAAAAAACCGAATATCGGGAGGTACCGATAAATGGGGATATACCAAAACGTGTTTACAATGTTTCGCCACGCGAGCTAGAACCCATTATGACCTAAAAATACCAACTTTTTGACAAATCCGTGGAAAAATTTGACAAAAAATCATCAAAATACCGAATATCGGGAGGTACCGTTATTTGGGGACAATACCAAAATGTGGACTGATATATCTTATTATCAATACCAACCATCCTAGACACAATACAAATTGTTCTGCTAAATTTTGACGCTCTACGTCAAAAAATGTGAGCTATATCGTGATTTCAGCAGAAAGACAGACAGACAGACAGACGGACATCATTAAATCGACTTAGAATCTCATGCTGTTTATGAATATTTATACTTCATGGGGTCTACGACGAATATTTAGGTATGTTACAAATGGAATGGTAATGTTTCCAAGGTGGAGGGTATAAAAATTAAATATAGTAAATCCCATACGTCAGATTACTGCCAATTCGGTTAGACATTACGACTGACATCTTCAACATAAAGAAATTTTAAAAATTACACTTGAATCCTCGAAAAATTTTCGCTTTTTGGCAATATCGAGGCAAATATCTTCCTGATATATTATGGAAATATAGATTTCTTTTCTCTGGTGGCATATAGTGGACTTTGATAAAGAATATTTTTGCCTCGGATATCATCCATCTTAAATGAAACTTTCTATGAGAATTTCCCGTAAACTCACGGTCTTAACCCTAAAATATGGTATGATTTTTCCTAATTTTTTTATCCTAATCTAAATATTTGAACAACTTTCTCAGGTCTTCCGAAAACCTTTCACAAGTTTTATATTGGATTGAAGAATGTATGTCCTTCAGATCTTCTGTCTAAAGACTATTTTTACACATAATTTATAGATAGAAAAACTTTAGCTTATCGCGTCCATATGTTGATGGCCTTTTTACAAAATTTTACAAAAGTCATGTCATTAGGTTTTCCCATTTATTTCGCTAATAAAATCCCCCTACCTGTTAATCACAATTCCTAACATTTGTTGGTCATGTTGATTAATGAATTCCAGATTAACCAAATCTGACACCGTCACGGCTCCCTCCTCGATTTTTACCAACGCTCATTAAGGAAGGAAAATATAATTAATTATTTCATGTTGTCGTTGTTGTCACCGACCAACGAAAATATTTCCAATCTTAATTTTTCATTTGTGTCTCATTATACATTTTCTCTTTTTATTTTTTGTATTTTACAGCGTTTACGGGTACCCTCTGCTGCTCATTTCCGTCTGCATGATTTCCGTTTCGACGACATCCATTTCGAAGATGATGATACTTTAAAGGTTTGTAATTCCAGGCCTTGACTTGTGGGTGGAATGAATTTTAATAAATTTATTGTTTTTGTTGTGTCTTTTGTTCTTTGCACATTTAGGCTTGTTTACGCATGTTCTTGGATTTAGATTTCGTCGAACGTTTCCATATCGACTATGAGGTGCTGTGCCGTTGGTTGCTGAGCGTTAAGAAAAATTATCGCAATGTAACGTATCATAATTGGCGGCATGCATTCAATGTGGCCCAAATGATGTTTGCCATTTTAACGGTGAGTAGTAATTTTTGGGAAGGATGAGTGAGATGAAGAAGATCTGAATAGTTGTTGTTTTTGTATAGTTTTAAAGAATATTATAACAAATTAAAATAAATTTAAGTTAAAGTAAGGATAAAGAGATGGTAAAATGAAAACACAGGGTGTTTCAATCACATGGTTCTAAAGAAAATAATAAATTCGTGAAACAGAAAATTGTAGCATGCTTTTAGGCGCTATTAAAAAACCTAAGCACAGAAGTAATATTAATATAATTTAAATGTTCAGAAAGGATTCTATTATTAAATATTATCAATTTTTCTTAAAAGTCTCCCGGATTTGTAATTGAGAGAACTCTAAACATATTGCTTATAGTGTTTTAAGAACTGATTAAATTTGGCAGAGGTATTTCTGAGCTGTCGAATGCATATTACGAATGTGAGGGACTTAACGACCAAATCGGATGAAACATATATATGGAAGCTATAGCTATATCTGAACCGATTTTCTCCAAATTTGATGTACTTTCTTCTAGACTGAATTCAGTCGGATGTGCCAAAATTCAGGTCATTTGGACTGATATTGGCCATTTGGTGCACAATTAACCCGAAATCGGTTGAAGATATATATATGAAGATATATATATTTTTTATAATACCCTCAAATGATTTAAGAAATTTAGAACTGCCAGAGGAGAATCGTTAAAAGTTAATAATTTTTTCAAGACTTGTAATTGAGAATTTTTAAGAATATTGGTTTGGGGTTTAAAGCAGCTATAAACAAAGCGATTTTAAGAATACGTTTTAGATTTTTTTTAAGAAGTTTCTTATTTATCCTAAAAATATTATTTCGATATCGGTTACTTACATAACGACAAAACATATTTTACATTTTATTAGATTTTTTTAATTTATTAAAAAAACCAAAAGTCTCACAATTTTATTCCCAGCATGATTATTTTTTCAATTATTGCCTATAGCTTTATAACTTTATTTTTCCTGCAATCCTTACTTTGGCTTAAGTTTCCCTCTTAAATTTATTTAATTATTCTAATTTTTAAATATTAAGTTTTTTTTTTTTTAATTTTGACCCAAACCTTAAATATTATAAAATTTGCACTCTTATTAATACAAAGATTTCCCATCACGGACAGGCCACCCAATGGTGGAAGATATTTGGTGAAATGGAATGTTTGGCGCTGATAATAGCTTGTCTGTGTCACGATTTGGATCATCGGGGGACCAATAATTCATTTCAAATTAAGTAAGATCCACCACAGAATTTCATAATTTACCACATGTGTTTATTCAATATTTCCCTTCCAGGGCCTCTTCACCACTGGCTCAGTTGTATTCAACCTCAACAATGGAACATCATCATTTCGATCAGTGTCTGATGATTTTGAATAGTCCCGGAAATCAAATTCTGGCCAACTTATCATCAGAGGATTATTGCCGTGTCATAAAAGTATTAGAAGATGCTATATTATCTACCGATTTGGCAGTGTATTTGAGGTACGTAAGAAATATATTTTTTAATATTACCAACAGAAATTCATAAAATATTTTTATTTTTTAGGAAACGTGGCACATTCTTACAAGATGTCCACCAGCAACCTTTAAGCTATTGGATTGATGAAGAGCCAAGAGCTTTGTTGCGCGCCATGAGCATGACAGTCTGTGACTTGTCGGCCATTACCAAACCCTGGGATATAGAAAAACGTGTTGCCGACCTGGTTAGCTCTGAGTTCTTTGAACAGGGTGATATGGAAAAACAGGAATTAAATATAACTCCCATTGTAAGTATTGAAAAGACGTTTTTAGAAAACATAACATCTTAAGATAGAAGAGCTGGCTTTTACCAAAAACAGGAAGTGTGTTCAGAGAAAACACTCAATTCAGAAAAAAGGCGTAGAAAACTGACTCTATTTGAGGGAACAATTTGAAAGTTTTCCATTCACATAAGACCTGTTGTCTATGCGGTTTGACAAATTTTTGATCTCTTCTATTTGGTTTTCATAACGTTCTCCATATTCATACAATACTTATAGGAGTCTCCTATCTAAAAATTCCCAAAGAATGCCATTCCACTGATGAGTTTTCTTTGAAGTGGACCTTTATCATCAAATCAAAAAGACCTGCCTATAGAGCAGAGCTATTTAAAAACAATAGCTCTCTCGCCGGTCTAATTTCTCATAGCTATCTTTAGTCATCAACAAATTAGTGTTCAAACATTATTTATTCATTTTTTGTATCAATACGCCTTATAAACAATTGAATAGACCACCACTGCTACAGAAGACCTTCCATTTATTACCTGTGAAACGTAGCATTTTTAGGCATAAAAATAGTTTAAACTTCCTTTTTATAGTTGATTTGTAAAATGACCTCCTACAAAGAAATACCTGTAGATAGCCTGATGTGTACCTAGAACTGTGGTGGACTTCTGTTCATAAAAAAGCTAAAGAAGCGAAATCAATAAATCATCTTGCCTAGTCTGAAGATCAAAAATAAAGTAGGAGTCTCTGTTCTTCGTCAAAGATCCTGCATATGGTGATCTATGTACAGAAGATATGTTAAAAAGTGGTATGTTGATAGTCTTCATTTGTATTCAAAAGATCTGAAATTGGTTCCATTTAAGTTTAGTAGACAAAATTAAAATTCAAGGGAAAGTAGAATGGGTTTTAATTAGAGCAGCAGGCAATTTACTGTTCCAGAACTGCAAGAATGTAGAAGTTTCTTCTACGATTGCCCTTTATGATATCGAAGAAAATGGCAAAACAAGTAGATTCTTACTGGTTCTGGAACATATAAAAGACTTATAAAATGACTTCTGCTGGCGCACACGCGATCTTTTAGTGAAATTTCAAATTATTTCAAAGTCGACTTAGGTATCCCTACCGCTTCGTTGGAAACCAACGAATCTAAATAAAATATAACACGTAAAATAAATGTTCAGTACCTTTATGCAGTTATAGTTTTAATGGAAGAAGGGCATGGAGAGCAGTCTGGCTATCAGGAAATATTGGCACTGGTTTATCAATGGCACTGATTCGGAAAAAGACGTCACACTAATTATCCAAGTTCAAAGAGCATTTATACATCGCCTAGAAGAGACTGGCCTAAAAGTCGACGTCCCAGTTGCTTACAAGCACCCGTACCGTTTTCCATATAAGATCCATTAAAACGAGTTATACATCGGTTAGAAGAGACTGGCTCTAATGGCCGATGTCCCAGTTCCTTACAAGATTCACAATTCTTAAGATTCGTTTTATAAAAAGCAGAGAACTTTTTGATATCTGTTCCTCTACATGAATGCCTAAGTTTTGGCTATACATGGACTAGGGGATACTTGCTATGAAGGCCGACGTCCCAGTTGCTAACAAGATCCATAATTCCCAAGATTCGCTTTTTTTGAAAAGCAGAATGCATGTTGATATCTTTTTATCTACGTGAATGCCTAACCAGAAGTTTCTGAGTCCTGAGATATGGTTCATTGAGAATCAGGACAGTCTTTGACATCTGAAACTAGGTTCAGTAATATAAAAAAGGTTATGCAAAATATAATCTTATTAAAATCTGTAAAACAACAGTCTCTTTGATCCATGTAAAAGACCTTAACATATTAGATTCCTCAGCCATGGAAGATTGAAAAATAATTATTTTCAATTTTGAGAATCTATACAAAGAACCTCTAAAAACCACAATGTAGGTATTATACACAAATATCTTGTACAGGAGCTGTAAAAGTTATCCAATATAATTAAAGGTCTTGCATAAGGTTATGGAATATTCTATATTTAGATGTCATAGAGAGCATATGTGACTCATGAAAACCATATTCAAAGTTTTTTTTTTCAAATTAGTTCGGAAGAAATTTTGTTAAACGAGTTTTGTTAGATTCCCAAATATGAATTGTGAAAAGAATATTTTGTGTTAGTTTCCCTTTAGTCCATATAATCCATTGATCTAAAGAAGGTCATATGTTTGAAGGTCTCCTTCTTTTTCAAACTCTTTTTTTTTTAGAGCAAATCTTCAAAAAAGTCTTCCCTTTAGTCCATATAATCCATTGACCTAAAGAAGGGTTTCAGAGGTCATATATTTGATGGGCTCCTCCTTTTTTAATTTCTTTTCTTTAGTGTAAATCTTTAAAACAAATCTTGTATAATGAAATAGATTTTTCCTAGACATCTACTGTAAATAGAAATCTTACTAATGTCTATCCCTCTATTTATTGCTTTCGGCTTGAGTAATGATTGCTGGATAGAATATCTGAAACTTTTCTAGGACATATTCTTAAACTATTATTCCTTTTCTCTTCCAGGATATAATGAATCGTGAAAAGGAAGATGAATTACCCATGATGCAAGTCGGTTTTATCGACTCCATATGCTTGCCAATATATGAGGTAAGTATTTCGAATAATATCAAAATATCGTCCTTCAACTAACATCACCCACTCTTCTCCCCTCCATCCCAGGCCTTCTCTGTATTATCGGATAAATTAGAACCATTAGTTGAGGGTGTACGTGATAATCGTCAGCATTGGATTAAATTGGCTCAGGGTGTGGAAACCAAACAAACGAAGAAGAGTAACGGCATTGTTAAGGCCAAAAATAACAAAAATAGTGGCAACAACAATAACAACAACACTTGTAGCAACAATAAAAATAGTAACAATGAAAATTCTTCAGAAAATGGTGGCAATGGTGATCTCAGTTCGGATGTTAATGATGCTGCCGATAATGAAACTTTGCAAAATGATGCAACCACCACTGATGAGTGTCCCGATGAGGCCGACGAAGAAACTGGTATTGAGGCCGATGATGATGATTCTGAGATAGAAATTGAACATCATTCAAATGATGGCTATAGTTCGGATTCAAGTCATCTCTCGACGCCACCACCCACCGGCGAAGAGGATAGCTCACCCACCTCACCGGCCAAAACAGAGGCCGCTACCAAGAAACAAGCCCAGCTAATGGTTGAAAATCTTGAGAGTCTTAATCACAATCCTCTGCACAAACAGCGCAATTCATCATCGTCGTCGTCATCGTGTAGGAATTGTGAGTGTATGCGTTTGAGGAAAACGTCTTCGTTGAAGGGAGCCAGTGATTATCAGCCACATTGCAGTGGTGGCAATAGGTCTCACAGTAAAAGTACCCCCTCGATGACAAGTTGTGGTACAACAACGACAACACAGGGTGCTGGTCACCATCAAAATACCTCTTCCTCATCCTCCTCCAAAGAATGTCATTGTCATCAGAGCAGTAGTAGTCGCGGTGGTAGTGGTCATCATCACCACCACCATCATCATTCGAAGCACAGTCATCATCATCACCAGGGTTTGGGTAATACACCCAACACTCATACCGGTCATCATCATCACTATCACCATCATCATCACCACCACCAGAGCAATAGTCTGGGTGGAGGTGGTGGTGGCGGCAGCAGTGCTGGTTCCTCATTGTGTGGTGGTCTGTCAAATAACTCCAGTCTTTCGGAAAGTGATAAAATACCAAAAATTGTTGGTAAATTGGGAAATCTCGATGCGTTGCATCATGTTGCCGGTGCCAACAACACCAATGGATCGGGCGTTCTGGCCACCCCACCAAATGGTCTGTGCGGAGGATTTGGAGTACCGAATCGTTTGGCCTCCCGGCGTCATTCGGAAATAAATGGCATGACTTTAAATTTAAATTCCAATTTGAATTCCTGCAGTACAAGTAATGTTACCCTATCACCGGTGGTAACACCGCCCATGGTGGCGGTCATAGCAGCGGCAGTACCCGTGTTAACGCCAGACATAATATCATCGGCAACAGCGGTAACGGCATCACTATCGACCACAACAACACCAACAAAATCGTCAGCATCGGCATCGTCGTCATCGGCAAGAACAGAAGGAGCGGCAGCAGCAACCACGTGTGATAAGTAAATTTTAGTAAAACAAAAATAAAACGGTAGTGGTAACGACAATTTGTGATTTATTTTTTTTTTTTTTATAAATTCAATAAAAAAACTGAATGTGGCAATGATACACCACACACCAAAGCCAAGGTATTTTGGGATAGCTTGGAAGTTGAAACTTTCGAATAGCTGTTTAGGCAATTGGGAACGGGACGGTTACCATCTCACTTATCTGTGTGGAGAATGATATTTACATTCAAATACATGCCAATAAATGTGGATTGGATTCAGATACCTGTGGTATTGCTATTCTCACCAGATAAGAATAAGATGTGGTAAATAAAAAAGTTCTCAATTGAATCTTATGTTTGGAAACATCTGTTTTTCTGCTCCTATAAATGCTTGGTAAAAAATATGTTTTTTTTTAATCTAAGGTCCATCTAAAGTCCTGTTTTGCATTCATATGTTGCTGCTATAGATCACATTTTCTCTTCCTATTTTCAATTCATACTTAAATTTTGTATTCATATTTCGTTTTTGGACTACATTGAGTCGATATAGGTGTGTACAGGTTTGAACAAGTATGCATTAGTAAAATTGCGTTAACTTCATTCAGCCAAACGACCCCGATGGGGTGCCGAACATTCAATATTTATAAAACTTGATTTATCGAGTGGATAAAGCACTTCCGGAATTTTCCTACATCTAGAGCACTTGAGTGTTTTCGAGCAGCTTGATGAGCGAGTTTTGTAGCCACACGATCTTTGGCCTTTTTAACATCTCTCAGCGGAATTCTTTCAAGGGTGAATCCACCTTTTCGTATAGCCCCCATATAAGTATTTCCTGATATTTTTCAAGGAAATTTTTGCAAAGGTGGGTTTATGGAGGTTGTCCAGATTTAAGTGAACTTCATTCAACCAATTGAAATTTTGTTTTTGTCGATTTAGAAGACTGGAATAAAGCACTTCTGGAATCTTCCTGCATCTTGAGCACTTGCGGGTTTTAAAGCATCTTGATAGCAAGTTTTGTAGCCACCCGATCCTTGGCCTTTTTTCATTGCAAATACTTGTGATCTGAAGACGGATTTTTTATAATTTTATTCACATCTTTTAGCGGAATTGTTTAAAGGGTGGATCCAGCTTTTCGTGTAGACTCCAAATACGTATTTTCTAATATTTTCAGCGGAATTTTGCAAAGGCCCGATTTTTGGCCTTTTTTCATTGCAAAAACTCCTGATCAGAAGACGACATTTTTATAATTTTATTCTTTTTTTACATATTTCAGCGGAATTGTTTCAAGGGTGGATCCACCTTTTCGTGTAGCCCTCACATAAGTATTTCCCGATATTTTTCAACGAAATTGTTGCAAAAAGGTGGGATTGTGGTGGGAGTTCACAGTAGAAAGCATCAATACCGGACCAGGTTTTTATACGGTGACTCCAATTTTATGGCATTGTCATTTCTAAACACCTGAATACTATATCCGGCACTTATGGACTTATATTTAAAAGTGTTACTTTCCGAGTTTTGAAGAATATTAAAACTTTGGCCGGACTTGGCCAACTGATTGGACCAGGAATATCAAATTCAGGAAAACATAGTTTTTTATGGAAATATCCAAAATCAACTTATTCGGAGGGTTCCAGGGTGGGTCACAGGTCAAAACGGGGAGTGACATAGGAAAATAAAAAAATAAAAATGTCATGCAAATCTTTTATGAATCGCGGTGGAAAGTTCAAATACCGAAAATAAAAAGATAGTGGACCCTTATTGGAAATTGTATTTAAGCGAATTTGTTTGAAATATGCAGATGAAACAAATATAATACTGGATATCTGAAGGTTCAACCGAAACATGTAAACCTTACCATGGATCGAGATAGTTCAATTATCTATCATTCGAGTTATTACTATTCTCCCCCTAGACTTTTTCCGATTTTCATTATTTTGTTACCTATTTTCAATGCATTAAAGTAAAGGTAGGAAAAAAGTGATTAAGGATAAGGAATTTTGTACAATTTTGTGATTAAAAGAGTTACAGATGGCCAAAGTCTCATTTTGTAGTTCACAAGGCGGATTGTACTCCAAAAATAACAAAGAAGTAAACAAATATATCAATTTATCGTCAACTTGCCGGTCATTTTCTAATTATGGTCCTATAGTCTTAAAATCAAACAAGCTTTTCGTATATTCCTTAGTTAAGAGTCAACTCCTCTACAATCTTCAATGAAATATTAGGAAGATACAATCCTGGGGCTAGATTCTCTTTCTATGAAAACATGAAATTGGAAAATATTTTCCTTATATAATATTTTATTTGACATTTCTTTCCTTTATTAAAGTTATCATTTCACATTTTTATCGAATGAGAATTGATGCCCCGAATTTTTTTAGTTTTTTTTTTTTCATTTCATTTGTATACAACCGTAGAACCAACCTACCTAGAAGTTCACCAACAACAATTGTAAGATACTACCATATAAAAAAATAAATACCTAAATGAATAACAAAACCTTACTATAACTTTAAAACAATATGCATACATACCATTGTTGCAGGCCGTTCACATGCGGCGCAAAAAGGGAACAAATATATGGGGCCGTGTTTTTTGGCAAAACCTGTCCACAACCACCGCAGAAATTATCCCAATTCTGTTGGTAGTGCATCCCATAATTGGTCCTCAAATGGATTTGCTCAGTTTTCCTGGGTTTTTAGTGAGGATGCTTCGAGATTTCAATTTGCTTCTAATTTCTGCGGGGTGTGTAGTCTGGGTGGCGATGGGATCAAAATGCCGGAAATGGTTTGTTAGGGTTCGCTACGTACGAAATTAGGCTCGAACAGGGTTGAGTAAAAGAGTATTATAAAGGTAGTAAATGACAGGGTGACTCAGGCTAAGAAGTGACTAGGCAGCCCTATGATTGCTGAGTAGGTGGGAACCTACTATAAATATGATAAAAATTTTGTTTAGACACAATTGGAATGAATGATTATGAAAAAAAAGCGGCACGTTGAAATAAAAATTTAAGAAATATCAGAAGAATAGAAAAACAAAAGATTTCGAGAGAAATAATTAAAATGTTTTTGCTAATGTCTCGCTGCCGTATAAGGTTAAAGGAAATTGGCGTTGTTTGGGCGAGTTGGTAACGTATGTGAAAAGGGTTGGGCGAATAGTTAGACAGCCGTTGATTTTTAAATGAGAGACTCAGGGGTGAGGTGAAATGAGAATTCACAATAGAATAAAAAAATGGCTATTGACAGTTGAAAAGAAAAAGGAATGAAAATTGAAAATGGCTCAGGAAAATGGTGTTTCGTGGAAAATGAGCGTCTGGCGGGATTCACTGAGAAGAGGGGTATAAAAGGCTGCGAGCATAAGAAAAGCCAAAGTTAAGAATAAGACGTTACCGGTGAAACTTAGCAAGAGAGCAGTGCAGAAGTGGAAAAATTTAATTTGTGTGTTGCGATTTTTTTTATTGTGTAAGTAGTTTGTAACAGTTGTTTGTTGAGTAATGTGTTGTTATATGTGATGTGTGTTGCTCCAACAGGAATATTCCGGTGGTGTATCAAGCTTTTTTGGAAGCACCGAAAATTGTCCGGTTTTGGTCAGCACAACGGCGGGAAATTGCCTTTTCTTTTTGGTAACGCAAGGTAGTGGCAAGTTGTCCACAGGAAAAAAAAAGCCAAAAAAAGTTACATTGAGGGTGTGGAGATTTGAATTGTAAACTGGCCAGCTGCAACTTTGAGCTTTTTGCTGTGCCTGTTATTGATCCCGCCCAGAACGCCGGCATTGTAAAAGGACCAGTCAACAAGTCCAGCTTCATTTGAGGGTTTGTCTGGCGTTCAAAATCTGTTTCCTCCGGAAAGAAGCGTAAACTGGAAGAAGAGATAAGAAGAATTAATCAATAACGTTATACATCACTGCTCAGGTAAAAGGTGTCTTACCGTTGTGTTGTCCTTGATATATTTATATATATGTGACGTCCATAAAATTTGCTGTCTCCTTTTTTGGAACTAAAAGAAAAGAAAAAAAAAAGAGTTAATAATCATAAATTTCGAGAAAAAAAAAATATAATATTCAGTATAAAGATTTAGTAATAAGATAGGTTATAGTTCTTAGGATTTAAGTAATAATCAGTTTGTAAGGGAAAAATACCGCGTTTATTTTCAAAGGCTAGGAGGTGTTACAGTAAAATTATCTTGAGTCCTTGTGATTCGATCTGATAGTTTAGGCCGTGGAATTTTAGCGGCAATTAGGCCGGTTAAGAGAGCTCTTTTAGGTGGCTAGTAATTTCGTATAGACGCGTGAATATTGCGCGGGAAAAGCAAGGCAAAGGATAATATATTGGTTTCTACCGAGTAATTAAAGCCATAGATTTAAGAAAGCCCGGTATTATTCTTAATTTGTTTTTTTTTATACCATACAGTTTGTCAATTTTAGTGTAAGAAAAAAAATAGTAGAGAAAAAAATTAAGAAAATATTTAAAGCTAACTTATTTTTTTTAATAAAATTAAAAATGATTCTTTTGTAAACAGTAGATACTAATATGTGTTGCTAAATTTGTATAACTTGGGGGGAAGGTGGTATGAAGTAAGTGTGTGATTCGAAGCGTGTGGCTCAAGGGGATTCAGAGAAACGCAAGAAATGGAAATACTGGATCCAGGTAGGGTGGGCGAGTGTGGGATCGATCCACCGAGATCCCTGTATGATGACTCCTATTTTGTATATCGTAGAGTAGAGCAATTGTAGTAAAGTCCCCTTTCAATGTTAGTGTGTTGGATTCGATTGGCGGGTTGAGATCCCTAGCCCTGGGAGTCTCTGTGACAGTCGGATGGCCTAATCGTATGCCGAGCATATGCACACATAACAGAGATGGCGCCCAATATTCTAAAATAAAGCTTTATTGTACCTGATACCACTGTAAAAAATGGCGACTCAAACATGGCCGTTGTAAACTGTGATATTAGGTTAGTAACTCTGTGCAGTAACATCGACGCACACAGCCATAGAATGCTAGTAGATTTTAAATAGACAAAAGAAAATGTTTTTGACAAATAATATTCTGTGATATTAGTATGCATCCGAACTTTAGAGAGATGGGTTACGAAGTGCGATATTACTATATCAAATATATTATGGGAACGTTTTCTC